ATCACTGGAGACCGATCTCGTGCTCATTAAGACTCATTCATACAGCACAGGCGTCAATGTTTGCTGCCACCATGTGCTCCGAGTGTTTGGCCCAGGAGTGTTTGCTGTACTCTAGGTGGTGGCATTGACCACAATGTGACATCTGCAACTTCTTCTTATTTACGAGAACATTTATTTTGTTCCTGGGACATTTATTTGTGTGTGTCTGTACTCATTATAAGTGTCTATCTATCATGATGTGGTTCCATCTTCATCCCGGAGGGCGACCACGAGTGCATTCAATCTCTTGTTTAGAGGGTAGCCAGGGTGCCACTGGTACTCAGTGACCGTGCGGGCGGACTTCACGAAGCGAGCTCCAGACCCTCAGTGGCCTGGCGTGCGCCGCGTACCCTGCAGACACTTGAGCCGTAGGTCGGGGTCAAGTCCGCCCTGGATGATCGCAAACAGGTTCTGGGAGTCTGGGTTCTTGTTTGCTGCAATGCAGCGATCCAACCAGCGCACGGACCTGACGAGTGAACACACCACGTCACACACTGACGGGTGAACACACCACGTCACACACTGACGAGTGAACACATCGCGTCACTGACGAGTGAACACACCACGTCACACACTGACGAGTGAACACACCACGTGACACACTGACGAGTGAACACACCACGTGACACACTGACGAGTGAACACACCGCGTCACTGACGAGTGAACACACCACGTGACAGCACCCCTCACCTCCACATGGCTTCCTCCACACGTGGCCCGGTCACCGTGCTGCTCACCACATCATCCAGCTGCATCATAATGTCAGAGCCTGACACAGCACACACCTCATACTCTGCCACATCCCGACACACACAGCACACACCTCGTCACTATGCCACATCCTGACACACACAGCACACACCTCGTCACTATGCCACATCCGGAGATACACAGCACGCACTTCTTTACTACATCACAGCCGTGTGCATCTCTGCATGAGCATTCCCTTCAAGGCAGTGTCGCTTTCCAAGGGCATTGTGAAGGTGAATGCAGGGAGCTCCCAAGGGCATTGTGAATGTGGATGGAGGCCTCTCACCCAGGGAATTCTGAATGTGAATGGAGGCCTCGGGCGTCAGGAGGATGTGGCGGCCATCATATGGAGATGAGAAGCGGACCCCCTCCTCCGTCACCTCCGCCAGCTCCACCAGAGACACCATCTGAAAGCCGCCGCTGTCCTGCGCAGGAAGCGGTGTGAGTTTCAGCTATTCCTGTTGCCTGCGTTAATGTTTCTTGTTTATGGTCCCTTCATTCAAATTTAGTTGCAGAATGACACCGTTACTCGGAGGAGGGTGGCCCTGAAGTTTGCCGACAATACAAACTCATAAACGTGGCCTGGTTAGAAACGCATCAGTGGAAAGTCCATATTCAGGATAGTATGACCAAAATTGCGGTTTCTAACGTCTACTGACCTTAAATTCAGTCCCTGCCTCTTATCAGGGCGTGGTATTTTAACATTTACTACTCTGTCCAGTTTAGAACAGCAGGATACTTGTGCACCCTGATCACTCCCAACAATTTATACATTTTTACCAGCTGCCTTACACAAGTTCACGTGTCATAACATGTACCATCAGGTCAACTTCATATTCATATGCCCTACAGTGATAACAGATGCCTGTGAAATGGTGGCCAGTGCCAGGAGTTTGATATTCACACAAAGATGGCATGGGTGCCGAAATGCACGAGGAGTGAAACATTGTTCAGAGTCGGGCTCAAACTCGTGCACACTGAGTCAGACTCACACTCGTGCACACTGAGAGTCAGACTCACACTCGTACACACTGAGAGTCAGACTCACACTCGTGCACACTGAGAGTCAGACTCACACTCGTGCACACTGAGAGTCAGACTCACACTCGTGCACACTGAGAGTCAGACTCACACTCGTGCACACTGAGAGTCATACTCACACTCGTGCACACTGAGAGTCAGACTCACACTCGTGCACACTGAGAGTCAGACTCACACTCGTGCACACTGAGAGTCAGAGTCACACTCGTGCACACTGAGAGTCAGACTCACACTCGTACACATTGAGAGTCAGACTCACACTCGTGCACACTGAGAGTCAGACTCACACTCGTGCACACTGAGAGACAGACTCACACTCGTGCACACTGAGTCAGACTCACACTCGTGCACACTGAGAGTCAGACTCACACTCGTACACACTGAGTCAGACTCACTCGTGCACACTGAGAGTCAGACTCACTCGTGCACACTGAGAGTCAGACTCACACTCGTGCACACTGAGTCAGACTCACACTCGTACACACTGAGAGTCAGACTCACACTCGTGCACACTGAGAGTCAGACTCACACTCGTGCACACTGAGTCAGACTCACACTCGTGCACACTGAGAGTCAGACTCACACTCGTGCACACTGAGTCAGACTCACACTCGTGCACACTGAGTCAGACTCACACTCGTGCACACTGAGAGTCAGACTCACACTCGTGCACACTGAGAGTCAGACTCACACTCGTGCACACTGAGTCAGACTCACACTCGTACACACTGAGAGTCAGACTCACACTCGTACACACTGAGTCAGACTCACTCGTGCACACTGAGAGTCAGACTCACTCGTGCACACTGAGAGTCAGACTCACACTCGTGCACACTGAGTCAGACTCACACTCGTACACACTGAGAGTCAGACTCACACTCGTGCACACTGAGAGTCAGACTCACACTCGTGCACACTGAGTCAGACTCACACTCGTGCACACTGAGAGTCAGACTCACACTCGTGCACACTGAGTCAGACTCACACTCGTACACACTGAGTCAGACTCACACTCGTGCACACTGAGAGTCAGACTCACACTCGTGCACACTGAGTCAGACTCACACTCGTGCACACTGAGAGTCAGACTCACACTCGTGCACACTGAGAGTCAGACTCACACTCGTGCACACTGAGAGTCAGACTCACACTCGTGCACACTGAGTCAGACTCACACTCGTACACACTGAGAGTCAGACTCACACTCGTGCACACTGAGAGTCAGACTCACACTCGTGCACACTGAGAGACAGACTCACACTCGTGCACACTGAGTCAGACTCACACTCGTGCACACTGAGAGTCAGACTCACACTCGTACACACTGAGTCAGACTCACTCGTGCACACTGAGAGTCAGACTCACTCGTGCACACTGAGAGTCAGACTCACACTCGTGCACACTGATTCAGACTCACACTCGTACACTGAGAGTCAGACTCACACTCGTGCACACTGAGAGTCAGACTCACACTCGTGCACACTGAGTCAGACTCACACTCGTGCACACTGAGAGTCAGACTCCACTCGTGCACACTGAGTCAGACTCACACTCGTACACACTGAGTCAGACTCACACTCGTGCACACTGAGAGTCAGACTCACACTCGTGCACACTGAGTCAGACTCACACTCGTGCACACTGAGAGTCAGACTCACACTCGTGCACACTGAGTCAGACTCACACTCGTGCACACTGAGAGTCAGACTCACACTCGTGCACACTGAGTCAGACTCACACTCGTGCACACTGAGAGTCAGACTCACACTCGTGCACACTGAGTCAGACTCACACTCGTGCACACTGAGAGTCAGACTCACACTCGTGCACACTGAGTCAGACTCACACTCGTGCACACTGAGAGTCAGACTCACACTCGTGCACACTGAGTCAGACTCACACTCGTACACACTGAGAGTCAGACTCACACTCGTGCACACTGAGTCAGACTCACACTCGTGCACACTGAGAGTCAGACTCACACTCGTGCACACTGAGAGTCAGGCTCACACTCGTGCACACTGAGTCAGACTCACACTCGTGCACACTGAGAGTCAGACTCACACTCGTGCACACTGAGAGTCAGACTCACACTCGTGCACACTGAGTCAGACTCACACTCGTGCACACTGAGTCAAACTCACACTCGTGCACACTGAGTTAGACTCACACTCGTACACACTGAGTCAGACTCACTCGTGCACACTGAGTCAGACTCACTCGTGCACACTGAGTCAGACTCACTCGTGCACACTGAGTCAGACTCACTCGTGCACACTAAGTCAGACTCACTCGTGCACACTGAGAGTCAGACTCACACTCGTGCACACTGAGAGTCAGACTCACACTCGTACACACTGAGTCAGACTCACACTCGTACACACTGAGTCAGACTCACACTCGTGCACACTGAGAGTCAGACTCACACTCGTGCACACTGAGTCAGACTCACACTCGTGCACACTGAGTCAGACTCACACTCGTGCACACTGAGTCAGACTCACACTCGTACACACTGAGAGTCAGACTCACACTCGTGCACACTGAAGTCAGACTCACACTCGTGCACACTGAGTTAGACTCACACTCGTGCACACTGAGAGTCAGACTCACACTCGTGCACACTGAGTTAGACTCACACTCGTACACACTGAGTCAGACTCACTCGTGCACACTGAGTCAGACTCACTCGTGCACACTGAGAGTCAGACTCACACTCGTGCACACTGAGAGTCAGACTCACACTCGTGCACACTGAGAGTCAGACTCACACTCGTGCACACTGAGTCAGACTCACACTAGTGCACACTGAGTTAGACTCACACTCGTGCACACTGAAAGTCAGACTCACACTCGTACACACTGAGAGTCAGACTCACACTCGTGCACACTGAGTCAGACTCACACTCGTGCACACTGAGAGTTAGACTCACACTCGTGCACACTGAGTCAGACTCACACTCGTGCACACTGAGTCAGACTCACACTCGTGCACACTGAGTCAGACTCACACTCGTGCACACTGAGAGTCAGACTCACACTCGTGCACACTGAGTCAGACTCACACTCGTACACACTGAGTCAGACTCACACTCGTGCACACTGAGAGTCAGACTCACACTCGTGCACACTGAGTCAGACTCACACTCGTGCACACTGAGAGTCAGACTCACACTCGTGCACACTGAGTCAGACTCACACTCGTGCACACTGAGAGTCAGACTCACACTCGTGCACACTGAGTCAGACTCACACTCGTGCACACTGAGTCAGACTCACACTCGTGCACACTGAGTCAGACTCACACTCGTGCACACTGAGAGTCAGACTCACACTCGTGCACACTGAGTCAGACTCACACTCGTGCACACTGAGAGTCAGACTCACACTCGTGCACACTGAGAGTCAGACTCACACTCGTGCACACTGAGTCAGACTCACACTCGTACACACTGAGAGTCAGACTCACACTCGTGCACACTGAGAGTCAGACTCACACTCGTGCACACTGAGAGTCAGACTCACACTCGTGCACACTGAGAGTCAGACTCACACTCGTGCACACTGAGTCAGACTCACACTCGTGCACACTGAGTCAGACTCACACTCGTACACACTGAGAGTCAGACTCACACTCGTACACACTGAGTCAGACTCACTCGTGCACACTGAGAGTCAGACTCACTCGTGCACACTGAGAGTCAGACTCACACTCGTGCACACTGAGTCAGACTCACACTCGTACACACTGAGAGTCAGACTCACACTCGTGCACACTGAGAGTCAGACTCACACTCGTGCACACTGAGTCAGACTCACACTCGTGCACACTGAGAGTCAGACTCACACTCGTGCACACTGAGTCAGACTCACACTCGTACACTGAGTCAGACTCACACTCGTGCACACTGAGAGTCAGACTCACACTCGTGCACACTGAGAGTCAGACTCACACTCGTGCACACTGAGAGTCAGACTCACACTCGTGCACACTGAGTCAGACTCACACTCGTACACACTGAGAGTCAGACTCACACTCGTGCACACTGAGAGTCAGACTCACACTCGTGCACACTGAGAGACAGACTCACACTCGTGCACACTGAGTCAGACTCACACTCGTGCACACTGAGAGTCAGACTCACACTCGTACACTGAGTCAGACTCACTCGTGCACACTGAGAGTCAGACTCACTCGTGCACACTGAGAGTCAGACTCACACTCGTGCACACTGATCAGACTCACACTCGTACACACTGAGAGTCAGACTCACACTCGTGCACACTGAGAGTCAGACTCACACTCGTGCACACTGAGTCAGACTCACACTCGTGCACACTGAGAGTCAGACTCACACTCGTGCACACTGAGTCAGACTCACAC